CAAAATTCCTCATAAGAACCTGAATTGTCCACAACTGCTGAAAAAGCACTTTTGTCCAGAATTTAAGGAAGCAAGAGTAGTAACATTTTACCTTTTTGGTAGGAGCATTAACAAAAATCATGAACAGACAATACCTGGTAATCTTTTAGGAAATAGACGTCTTTGATTCTCTCATCAGGTGGTAAAGATTCTCAATGCCACTGATGAGCATGTCATGGCTCTTGGAGCCAACTTCAGCTTAGAAGCAGACTCACATCTGGTCTGTATGCAGAGTGAACAAGGCTATAAAACTCAAGCCATCAACATACAGAATCAAGCCAGGAAAGGTACATACTGAAGCAGGTGGAAAATGCACCCAGGATCACTGGCTCAAGTATATTTGGTGTATTTTTTTAATGTAACTCCTATTATTTTGGTTTTCTTTAGTAACTGGAGCAAGCTTTATTGTCTTCAGTGGGGCGCTAAAGCCAAGCAGTCCGTTCATGGCAAAAGTCAACATTGTGGAAGGTTTGTAACTTGTCCTCTCCACTGAAAACCCTTTACAACCTAACATTAGTATGCATATTCTCCCTACTGTTTTCTCAACATTTCCTGAGGTGCTGTCAAGGAGAATTTGTATAACAATCAAGGTTCTTTAGTTGGTATGCAGTTCATCTAACTCTTGACCTTTATGTGAAATTCAGGGGTGATAATGTGGGGAAATATAAGATACTGTCACTCTTAGGGGTCAAAGGGCTTAATTTAGAGAGAGCTTGAGCCCATTTACCTCTGAGAAACAAATGGCAGCCAGAAGTTTGAATTTCTTTTCTATGGGGCTCTCTATAGATCTTGTGTCTGTATCATTTAATTTGGAATTTGATTTCAAAGCACAGCAAGAGTAGTTTTCTGTCTGTCATCTTTTTGTGGACAGTTATCCTTTGTTTGGCCAATGCTTTTACTTCTAGGGGAGACCCAAATGGAATTTCTCCTCACCATATCAGTAAATTTTTGACCTTTTAACTCCCAGAAGTGATTAAAGTAAAACTTCTCCCTACAACATCCCTACATTCATCAGCAAACAGGTGATGAGAACATTCAAACTTATCAGGTAGAAGCTGTTATCTTGATCTAGCACCAAGTTCTCATAACTAATTTACAAGGAAATGTGTAGCCGCTACAGGGGAGAATTAACAATCAGATCTTGGGAGTTAAAGGGTTAAGTAGAAAGGTGTGGAGAAGAAAGAATAATACCCTCAAGTGGATATTGTATGATCAGAAGGCAATTTCTCAAGGCTAAAACTAGAAGAAACAAATGGCAGAATATTCAGAGAATTTGATGTTTGAAGTGCAAAGGTTATGTTAAATATCAGATGATTTATGTATCATTTTCCAACTCATTAGAACTTAGGGTATTTATAGTAATATCAGTAAGAGCAATTTTGTAGTACTTGCCATTTTGAATACTTGCTGATTTAATTTTTGTTTTTTTCTTTGCATAGATGGCATTATGGTTCAATTGACACCAGAAATGATTGAAAAGTTACGACATTCTTTGAAAGAAATGCAGGATTATTCAATTACTACAGGGGTTCCAGGTGGGGCTGGTGAAGAACAAGTCATTGTGGAATGGGTCAGTCGTCAAAATACTTCACAGCAAGCTAGGTACTGTATAAATAATAAATAATCAATTTACAATTTATGTTGTGCTTATTGCAAGCCTCCTAGCACTTCGCAATTTGAAAGAGAGAAAAACAAGTATTTCAAATAAACATTAAGTGCTTGAAAATCCCAACTGGTAGTAAACAGACCAGTTGGCTATTTACACAGTGAAGATAAGGAGTTGAACATGGGGCAACCAAATATTGAACTAGTCCTGAAGCAGGACTTGTTCAATTTGTTTGATGCCATAATTGTTCATGTACTTGTAAAGATATTGGCATAACTTATGGCCATAAAGGAGACTAAAGTCTTTGACTGTAATTACGCACCCTAATGAAATAAAGTGTCCTACTAACAACTTTTGAGAAAGGCTCTAAATCTACAATAAAATGCAGATATTACAACTGATTGATTTTTCTTGATTGATAATTCTTTCAAATTTCCACAGCTTGAACAGTCCAATAGATGGTTTACAGCTAGGTTCTTTTCCAAGTGTCAAGGTTCACAGTGGATGTGACTTCACACGCAAGAATGTATTTAGGATACAATGGACAGAGGTGTTCTTTTTAGGTGAAGGACAACAGAGTGCATCACGGGACCTCAATAAACTCACTGGAGAGCTGGCCAAGGCTTTTTGCCAGACACTCGTGCCACACTTGTCTAAAATGAGCTCAGATGGATTCACCTTTGTTGGACTGAGAGTAAATTTGGATCCTGATAATGTAAGGCACATATAACATATGCCACCATTGGGGTAGTTGGCATGAGTTGTGATAAGCTTTGGTAGTTAAGACATATTTTTAGTTCAGGTATCTTTTTCTGTACAGTCATTATTTTCTTGTTGGTCAGTTGTTAAGTCAGTCTGTCTATCTGTCTGTCTGTCTGTCTGTCAGTCAATCAGGCAGTCGGTCAGTCAATCAATCTATTAATCAGTAAGTCAGTCAGTTCATATTGTGGCCTCATGCTTGAGAGGTTGAGAGTATGTTGTTGTTCATCTTAGACAAAGGGTGCAGTTACTTTAAATCATATAGTTGAGGGAAAACATTGTCTAGCATATGGTGAGCTATTTAAACTTTTCTTATTTACGATATCAGTTCCACCAGCTCACCAATAGGCCAGATGATAACATGCAGTAATTCTTGAATTACAAACTGGTATAATTTATATGATAAGTTATTTTATGATCCGTTGGAGGACAGATGCAAAGATGACTTCACCATGAACAACATTTTGCTTTACTATCATCCGAAACAAATAGACTCCATCATGCTGTAGGACTGTATGGTAATAGATCACGGAGGATGACTAAATGTGGTGAGAATGTCAGTGACACTCTCAGTTGTGCCTTGTGCTCCACTTTTTTGTTCTTACTACATTTTGCTGTCATCTGTGATCTATTACTAATCAGATGCACCACAACAGGGAATTCATTTGTTAATTTTAGTAACTAATGTTTTATTCGTGAGGTGTGCAGTCATATTGTAGCTTCCTGCGTGATAGGTTGAGTGTATGTAGTTGTTCATCTTAAACACAGGGTGTTACTTGAAAACATATGTTCGAGAAATATTATTTGGCATGAGGTGAGCTGTATGAACTTATATTATTGGTATCAGTTCCACCAGCTCACCAATATGCCAGATGATCACATGCAGTAATTCTTTAATTACAAACTGGTATAATTGTTATGATAAGTTAGAAGACAGATGCAAAGATGAGTTCACCATGAACAACATTTTGCTTTATTATCAAGGGAAACAAATAGACTTCATCGTGCTGTAGGACTGTTTCGTAATAAGCCATAGAGGATGACAAAATGTGGTGAGAACATCAGTGACACACTCATTCCTGCCTTGTGCTCCACTTTTTTGTTTTTACCACATTTTGATGTCATCTGTGATCTATTGCTGAACAGATG